TGCCATTTGAAGGTTTTAAATGTACAAAACATTGTTTTATTGCGTTAATGGAGATTATCGAATAATGACATATTGTATCAACAATGGAAAATAATTTGGGGTTTTCGTTTTTCATAAATGACAAGGCAAATAGAAATTTTATTTTCAATGGTGGACAGAACAAGCCCATAATTGATTTATCCAATTACATTGATTTCGTTAACCAGAACATGATAGTTAAATCCGGATCTTCCGTGAGCCTAACATAGTGAAAGAGACATAACGATGTATTTGTATATACAAGGCCAGAGATAATATACATCGTCAAATATCGTACTTTAGTAGAACCAAGACTTTTATTTAAATTGACGCTATATAACAAGTAAACAAGATTACTCTTTATTTACGCATATTTTTACATTCAAATCTACTTTCATTACCTTTCTAATTTTCTATTGATAATAATTTCATACAAAATAGGTATCAGATTTTTTTTGCAAATAACTGAATTCAGTTGTACATGTAGTACTATACAGAAATATTGGAAGCTAATAAAGACTTAGTTCACAACTATCATCTGTATATTCAGGACGAGAACATTTTAAAGCGGTACAAATATGAACTCTTCTTTGTACTAGACCGACATTCTGAGTCTAACTTTCAAAGTGCTACTCCACCAGGTTATAACAGTCCGTAGGAAGACACGTTATACTTTAATTATGATTTATGTTTTCAAATTCTGAGGGATACACTTTACATCGATATGTTATCAACACGTATATTTAAAATATATACTTTTTAAAAGTATCGGTATACTTTTAACAAGACTTAGTACCAGTTTACTTATAAAAAGCATAGATATACATTTAAATAGTAATAGTGTATATATTAAACCCATCGGTATAGTTTTATTCACCTATTTGTCATAATGTATAGGCATCCTCGGCAGCATGGTGAAAATACATTTTTTATAAAAATTTTCATTCATGCTTCTTTACCAAATATGCGAAGTGTTGTCTTTCTCAAAAATAACAAAAGGAAAAAAAAATATACGGAGGCATGTAGGACGAAATCTTCAAGGTCGTCCTCATTTTGATGTGGAGGGGAATCGTCCGTCATTAAAAGACAATCTAATGTAGAAATTATACGCATCTTTGGTGTACTTCATACATGTCCAAGTGTTTGAGACTAGAAGAGAATAGTGTCTGTTTCAGTGTAAAATTCTTCAACGACTAGTTTGATAGACATACCGCAATGAATGTTCGACCAAATACTAGTATTCATACATGTAATTTGTGTCCCATTTATATTCACCTCAAATGCAATTCCTAAGTATCTACAATTCTCATTTGTACTTATTTTATGTTTTTCTGACAATTTGTCAATAATTTCTATTTAATAGAAAAACAAAAAATATTGGGTATCCATCCATGACACAAAATCAGTACATGCACAGCTAAAAACACACAACAAGCAACGGAACAACGCACCGGCTTGAGCGGAATTCTTTTCCCCTAATGTGTAGAAGCATTTTGATATTTCCAGCTATTTAGGTTTAATCATTGTTGGGTTATCGGTATTATATTGATCTCACCAGGCGTTAAGTCACTCCCCTACGAATATTTTATAAAAGAGAATGTTTGATTTTATTCGTTTACCAAATAACTTGAATTCTTTTTGTGTATAACGTAACAGCATGTGTCGTAAATTCACTCTTAACATAATTGTGTATAACTGTATAACAAATTTTATTGACTTAAATTTGTAACTACCTTTTTAATCTTTATTGACAACAACTCAATGACAGTTAGTATTAGTATATCTGAAGTTGTCATTAACCGCCGGCATCGTGGTCACCATTATTTAGATAAGTATCACTTCGAGTTAGCAATCAACAAAAATAACATACAGTGTAAATCGCTTCGAAACTTTGAGGACACGATAAAAGAGAGGCGAAAGATACCAAAGGAAAATTCAAACTCAGAAGTCGAAAATAAACTGACAACGCCATGGCAAAAGAAAAAGATCGAAAGACAAACAACATTATACAAAATACAACAGAGAAAACTAAAGACTGAGCAACACGAACCCTACCAAAATCCGGGGGTTATCTCAGGTGCTCCGGAAGAGTAACCTGATCCTGCTCCCATGTGGCACCCTTCGTGATACTTATGTCAGCACAAACCCGGGGACAAGTCTAATTCGATAGGTCACATTCGGGGAAAAGGAGGACGGGATTGTGGTTACGACGATTGGAACATATACTTCCTTAAATAACGTACATGTTTTACTTTCATGAACACTAATTATATATATTTCGCCCTTGCTATTGATTATATATTCCTTATTCCCATAAAAAAATATTTTTCAAGACCCAATTGATTTTAAACATGAATACTATACTATTGGTAAACAAATAAATGATGAAGACTTTCATGGGAAAAAAATGGAATAGTATGTGAAGGATGGATTCAATTCATTCTCTTAAGACTCATAGTCTTTAAGGATCCCCTTTTAAATTAACCGATACACAAAGCTATGACAAAATATGGACTACGGTGCAATTGTAAAAGCAGGACAAAGGGGATACGTACGATCATTTTTGTTTTATCTACTGCTGGTACGAAAGTTTATTCGAATGGTTCTTGTTTACAATTATGTGTAATTGGCATTCTCTCTACATTTCAATAAAGTTGTATATGAATGTTTTGTTAAACTTTTTCAGCTAAAACTTCAATATCAAGATGTATTTTACACTAGATGTAAGACACTAACATTCCTTCGATGGTGATACTAGACTAAGTAATGAATGTATCATTCACATTGACAAAAAAATAGTATACGAACAAAATTATCAATATAAAACTACGGCTCAGATAATTCAATAAGTGAATATTCAAATGCACGGGTGCTTTTTTTTTGTCGCCTTTATTTTGCAGAACTGTGTACGGAAGGCATTCTCGCAACAACGATTTCATCCGTGGAAATTTAACCAATAGAATACCTGAAATGCTTTGAACAACAGATAAGAAAAAGAAATAAAACATATTTCGCTTTTGAAATAAATACATTTGAAGTTAAATATTTTTCAGTTTTTCTACAAAAGTAAACAAAATGTCTTTCGGCTTTCGATTGCGGGAGGATAAATGTTTACTACTTTTTAGTTTAAAAAATAATATATCCCTCCCTAGAATAAAAACGATAATTTAAAAAATCTTCCATTAGTCATTGACACTCTGGACTCCATTAGCGTTTGCCAAAACAAAAATATGACCAGAGGTACAAGAAAAGAGCGTAATACTACGTATACTAACACTGTACCTGTTATATGTGACATTTCTGAACTTCGACTATAAATTGTGACAGTCATGATATTTGGTAAATGAAACCTTTAATTAGATTTCTGCGAATCAAATGGTTTTTATCTTATTTCCTATACAATATTGCATTTCGGATAAACTGTAACTAGATACGCGAAATTATTGTAGGCCATCTGCAAAACATGCGCTTTATTGCAACATTACATATATACACATTCTCCTAACAAGCCAAAAGATAAATAAACAGTAGGTCAGATATATAAAAGGAGCAATGAAGTAGAGAAAACATCGTTTCTATTTACGCTTAATTTACAGAGATTCTATCAAGCTTCAAATAAAAATTAATGGCTATCCTTCGGATTTAAATGAGAAATACGACATAACTGCATGTTTCATAATGCTTAATGTACTTCAATGACTGCGTAGCTTCCATATAAACTGTGATTGTGTAAGCTTAAACAAGATTTATAACATTACTACATGACACTTTACCGCTCCGATTTTACAATACAATATAATGTCATAGAGATTTACTTTAAAAACCGGAAACTCTTTTTTCTTCTGTTATATAATATATAATGGCGTGTCCGTGACGGAAACTCAAGTGCCAATTAATAAATATTTCAACAAGTATACCAAAAAGCTTGTTACATTTTGTCTATCAGTTTTGTCATTCATCTGCGAAACAATGCAAGTTTTTTGGTATTTGAAACATATAGAAGACATTATTTAATGAGTAATCCAGAAGTGATTCGAGACATTCAATTTTTAAAAGCTATAGAGATTTTTATAAAAAAAAAATATTGAAAAAATTGCGTAAATTCACGTCATTTTGACTGTGTTGGAAAATTATCTCATTGGCAATCATACCACATCTTCTTATTTTATATTGAGATCAAATTTAACTTCGTTTAAATCATTTTATGACGGCCCGGGCGCCATTGTTAAATTATCATTTTTCACTTATCTATGAAAAGACGTACGGACTTATTTTCCGCGCGCACAACGCGTCTTTTTTGAATAAACTCTATCAGTTACGCTTAAGGAAAAAAAGTTTGGAAAATACAAAAACAAATAAATGTTTGAGAGCAAAGAAAAAAAAATGCATGGACGGAATAGCCAAAAGCGTCTTTGAACAACTTTTCCTGTAAAAGTTGCTGCTTACGTTTTAGTACAATTTCCTAATTTTTAACTGAAAATTTATATAAAATATGTAGTATTGTATGATTCTCTAAAATAATTCCAGGACGAAAGCATTGGTACAGTAATGGGGCAATGTCTTGAATAAATCAAATGTCACCAGTAGATAAACTCATCATAGATATCAGGATTAAAATTGTGTATACCAGACGCGCATTTCTTCTACAGACACTCGAATAAAAAAGTGAAAAAGGCCAAATAAAGTACGAAGTTGAAGAGCGAGAACCCAAAATTCCGATAGTAGACCTACTAGTAGCTTTTCTTTAAATATATAAAACAATTCAAAATATTAAATGTGACTCCAACTTGATTCTGTAATCGGTTTTATACTTCAAAACATTCAATTGTTTTATCGGAGATCATCAACAGCAACACTGATTTAACGTCTTGTACATCATACGTTATCTTTAGGAATATTTAAGCTACTCTTTACAGGTACTTATTACAATTCTGTCAGTGAAACAATTAATTCGAAAAACATTCGTTTTGTTTTCGTTTCAGGTTTGTAGCTATTGTTCATCCGATAAAAGCACAGATTTTATGTAACAGACGTAAAAATATTATAGCTGTCAGTGTTATATGGATGATATCGTGTGCCTGTGGGATACCAACAGTGCTATACAACGAAGTAAAGTTGATGATACCTCACGCCGATATATCGTTTTGTATAACAATCTTTCCTAATCATCAGTTAGATAATATAATCTTCAAGTTTTTGGAGTTTACATTCTATTATTTCATCCCAGTGTGTATACAAATAGTTCTATATGCTATCATTGGGAGACGCCTGTACGCCAGCACGGATGAACTTCATACCAAATTTCAAATGAGAAAAGAATTAAATAGAAAAACTGACCGAGCTGCAGAAACTATAAAAGCTCGAAAAGGTGTTGTGAAAATGCTGGTAGCCAGTGTTATTGTTTATACATTATGTTATGCCCCTCCACAAATTTTGTTATTTTATAACACACTCTCCAAGACGAGATTTCACGAGACATGGTCCTTTCAAGTATTTGTCAATATCATTGCATATGTAAACTCAGCTGCAAATCCAGTACTGTACAGTATATTCAGTCAAAATTTTCGTCGCAATTTTAAGCGTTGTTTATTCTGCATGTGCATTAAATATAAACATGAACCATATATTAGAGCTAGATTTAACTCTCTTGACTCTCGTGGAATCTCAAGAAAAGTAAGCACTACGAGAACTACAATATCAAGACTATGAATCAATCGAAGATTTATTATATCGATGAAACGGGCTGTGATTTGTTTAACAGTACGTATATCTATGTGAGTGCTTTTTTCATTTGGGTTTCATCAATGCTTTATTTCGAGCAAGAGGCTACATAATGGTTTGACTCATGTTTTTACCTCATGCGATTATATTTCAAGTTTACATATATATATATATATATATATATATATATATATATATATATATATATATATATATATATATATATATGTTTATTGTTTTCTGTTTAGTATCAAATTTATAATTAAGATCCATTTATTACATCGGTGATCCGTTTATTTGGCAATCGCCAATGGCATGCAGTCATCAGGGTTTAAGAACATTTGTTGTTCGACCTGTTAGTCAAATGCGATTTGTTAAAATATACTTTTTCACTTTTTTGGTCTTTTGGAAAATGTTGTTTGTGCTGTATTTAGACCCCTCTAACAAGAAATTTGTTTTGCATGCACACGTATAAAAATTGCGGTTTTTATCCAACGCAATCATAGGTTTGAACGTTGTTTTCAATTTAGACTTGTATATATATATATATATATATATATGTCATTTTATAATATCGTTTCCCCGTTCTTTCATTAGAAAAAAATCTTGATATATTTTTGTAAATTTTTTCTTCATAAAGGTCGTCTAAATTGTTGATGACGATAACTTTTAGTATCATTTAATTTGAAGTGACAGTAAATCAAATGTAAGTAAAAAATAATTGCAACTTACATATTATGTCTTTGTTTGGAGGGGATGTTGAGCGTCTGTTTTACTGTTTTTCCACCCCGTAGCTATATCGTATAATACTACTTAGAGCATTTAAAAACACATTTACAATTTTTCAAGAAAATGAAGGTTCCATGTTCCAATGGTTCTAATCTTGACATAAACTGACTTGAAATTTTTCCTTTTTAAAATGATGTGCCATACAATATATTGATTTTCGTATTTTTCCACAGCTTTCCATATTATTTGCAATTGGCGTTCCTGGTGACGGTTGAGCCCGAAAAGCGCAAATCAAATTCATGAAATTATACGGCATCTACGATTTTAAACTTCAAATGTTTTCAATTTATTAGATTAAAGCAATACATGAAATATGTTAAATTCAAGAAATGTGTATAAAATAGGATATTTTTATACAAATGCTTAAAAGAAAGTAAGAAGAAAATATCAAAATGTGAAAAGATATACGCACTAATATTTTAAGATCTACAAAAGATATTTGATGGTTGCTCGAAAATCATTTCCATCATGTCACAGTTTTTTTTAATTTTTTTTATTTCAAATAAATGTAAGTATCACAAAATCAAATCATGTACATAATACTTAATATTTGTTAATGTATTTCTTTGTATATAAATGTATTCAATTTATGAATATTCATCGACCTTTTCTACGGGTCTTTATGTTTTTCGTTTTGTGTTATTAATAATAATTCAACATAAAATGTAAACAAATGTATTTGTTCTGCGTTCATTAAAAAGTTAATTTCATGTGAAAAATGATTTGTAATTTATTTATAATATATTTATCAAATGGTTTTATCTACTAAAATACTGACTAGGAAGCAAGCATTTCTGGTTTCATTTATGCTTTTTATTTATAAACAGCTTATGACTTTCCCGGTTACCACCATTTTCTACTTAAGGAAATGCCTGTATCAAGTCACGAATATGACAATTCTTTCCCATTCGTTTGAAGTGTTTGAGCTTTCGATTTTGCCATTTGATAAGGGACTTTTCATTTCGAATTTTCCTTGGAGTTCGGTATTTTTGTTATTTTACTTTTAGAGCAATGTTGCTTTCTTTCACCTTCTAATGGGATGTTTTTGACACCTCATAAGCATGAACACAAGTATTCATCCACCTTGTTGAGTCTCCAAACATATGGCTTGTCATATTTCAAGACAGTATACCGAAGTTCGTGTGTGTACCAACAGGCAAACATTTGCGGGAAAACGATCGGATTGGACGAGCTCGAAACGAAGTAAGACAAGGGCTAACGATAGGGTACTTATCTCCTTTTATGCGATATCTATCTAACATGGCATTCCAAATGATATTAATGGGAAAGTTTCTTGTCTTCTCGTCAATGAACAATACAAAACAGATAAATCATCAAGTTTATACGATTACCAAAACTTGCGTTCTGACATGTTTCAGAAATACATTGATAGTGAAATGCTGGCTTAAAGGAATCTGTTGAGGCAAGAGTTGTATGTGATGACATTGATGTCTTTTAGAAAGATTTACGGACGCAATCACTCATTTGCAGAAAGTTGCGAAGATAAGTTTCACAGATGGCAACGGATATATTCCATTTGTCATCACCTTGATCCCGTCTTCTTTTCTTTGTTTATGACTATCACTGAAGGCGAATTCCCATCAATTTGTTTATTTGTTATAAATATAACGAAGGCTTTGTACTTGTGGAATAGGAACTGTTCGTCTTCTCAGCGTCTATGAGTTAACCCACGTTTTGATATTGTTAGAGTCGGTTTCTCTGTAGTAGTATTTTTGGAACTGATGCTTGACTTTTCGTCTCTATTCTTATTTGGGTGGCTTTGAATCGCAATACATTAGAACAATGCGACGAAAATTCGTACTTTAACATTATGTGTAAGGATACATAAAAATTCGGTAAATATCTCATAAAAAGTGCAAGGCTTACGATTTGATACACCAGACGTAAACAGGAAGTCACTAAATGTTAAACGAGATAACAGGGATAGTATTCTCACATAAAGATTGCTACCAATTTTTAGAGGCTCTGATTTGTAGTTCATGAAAATGAAATGACGGATAGGCTGAGGCTAAGCAATATACAGCCTCCTTTGAAGCGGGGGTATAAAAATGTTTTTCCAGAAACGAAGACATGGTATTTACATTTAATATTTGTATAAAGAGTACTTTAACGATGTTCAAAAAATATTTATGCATTTGGAATTTATAAATACAAAATTACATAAGGTAGACAGAGACTATCGGGTAGTTTAAAGAGTCTCCTGCTATGCATTCATCACCCGCAATGCAAACTCCGGTTCATTTAAAAAAAAAATCTAAACAGGGAAAAAGAAATGTGTAGGCACCTTCAATTTAGGACAAGGACATAAGTGTATAGTGGTTCCAATGTTTCAACATTGCAAAATTTCAGTTCTTGTAATTTAAGACATTCAGGGTTAACTTTGAACTTTTTTGAATTCGCATCTGACAGCAGCACCATTCAAAAGTCACATCCAATAGTATTGATCAAAGCAAAAACAAATATGAGGCAACGGTAGTTTACCGATTTTCAAATATCGTAAAAACCCATCAAAGATACAAGACTTATAATTTGATACCCAAAACGAGCATTAATTTTCGTCGACATCGCATTGTTTTTCGCAATTTCTGCTTATGTTAGACATAAACAAATTAAAAGATCAACATAGGTAACGTTAACTTGAAAGTAATTCAAAGGAAAACGAACTTGCTGTGTGTCTTAGAACGGACAATCGAATGTGGGGTCATAAATTTCGAGGCAAATGAAAAATATTTATTTTCAAAATTATCAAAAAAAAGTTCAAATTTATTACATTAGATGTTATACCGCTTCGATTTAGAACAGCAATAGCTTTACGTTGTATTAAGCAAAACAGAGGCGTAAGATACAAAGGTGACATTTAAAACTCACATGTCCAATGTATATAAAGTGCGGATCCCGAAATACCATTTTCACTGTATATGCCATACATTTCTAATGAAGAATGGTAAATAAACAGACGAAAAATTTATAATTTTGGAATAAAGTAATGAATTATATATCAAATGAATTGTTTTAATACACATGTGATATAGATAAAAGGTGCAGACGGGTTTATATCGAACATTCAGCGATCAAGGTGTTAAATTGAAACACAAGTATGTAAATATTAGGAATATTTCACGAACAGAGCGTGCATGAGATTTAAAAGCAGCAGTGAAGTTTTATTTTCAGAAAAATATACCTTTTAACATAATCATTAATGTTGTATAACTTTAAACAGTTTTTTTTTATTCAATTTGCTGATATTGAGTTAAATTCCACTATGCTGCATTCGTTATGCGATTTATGTTTACTGTCGAATATTGATACAATACTTTCATTTTCACTGTAGGGGCGTTTAATTTCTATTGTATAAGCGGTGCATTTTCACAGTAGGAATCTTTATTATTTTCATCAACTAGAGTGTTAGTTCAGCCGACTCACTGACAAACAAAACGAAGTCGGAAGGAATTGATGCTTACTTTGTGAGTGAAAGTCTAACGATTTACAAAAATGAATTCCATAAAAATAAGAGCATTTATTGCTAAAAGTATTCAATTCTATTTTTTTTTTTTTTTTATTAATTCGTCAGGATATACATGAAAGATTAGATTTATCCATTCCATTGACATTTCATCATTGAATACATATACTTTGCAAGGTTAAGCACATTAATGGCCACCTAAAACTCTTCTTAAGTTTTGGGTTTTGGTCTATATCTAGTGTTCTATACATCACATACTAATGAAACGTCATTAATGAATGTACTTGAATAATGAAGAGAGTTCAAAAAACGACCTACATCTTAAGCTTGAATGACTGGTTACGTTCTCACTTCAGTTTATGTTTAAATCTAAAGAGCTTTACATCACGTATCGATGCAACTTCATCAGTGTGTATAAGACAAATAAAGAATACGCAATTTTGAAATTCCAAAGACATATTAAGAACAGTTTATTGTTACAAGTTTTAATGGTTCTATATCACTAATATCTCCACCGTACAGTTGATTTCGGACGTTGCTGTGCCGCGAAGTGAAGTTGGTAGATAATGTATTCAAATATTATTCTTCAAAGACTTATGGCCGTAACAGTAGGTATAACATGTTTAGGAACACAAAGTTTACTGCTTCCTAACAGCATTGTTTATTCATAAAACATGAACATCCATTATTAACTTAAACAAAAACAAATATCATTAAACACACGGTCACATTTAGTTGTCGAGTCAACATACCATTCTTTTATTTATAGTTAATTTAAGTTTGTGTTACACAGAATCTTTGTTTCGCGATGTAATTTATACACACGTCTATTTAAAATAGTCACAACAAATGAGAAACCCTT